ACAAGGTGACCCCTTCGGCTCGGGTCGTGATCCCAGGGTCCTGGAATCCAGTCCCGCATCGGGCTCCTTGCACGGCGGGGAGCCTGCTTCTCCCTCTGCCTGCCACTCCCCCTGCTTGTGCTCTCTCTCTGATAAATAAATAAATAAAATCTTAAAAAAAAGAAAGAAAGAAAGAAAGCTCCTGCCTATGGCAAGAACAGATTCTTCTGGAAGCTACAGGTATATTTGTGGGGGAACACAAGTTGTCCTTTTCAAAGTGGAGTCTGCCTGGACAGAGCTAGAGTGGTTCCCAAGGGGCATCACTCAAGAGCTCTGTTTCACAGCAGCTCGGTGTGGGAGGACACTCATTCCTTCATGCAGAATTCAGCAAGGGCATATCAAGCACCTTCTCTTTGGAGTATGAGTATGTATGGGTTGCATGCAAGTATTAAAAATGCAGACTCATTTCTCAAACTCCAGGTACTCATAGCTTAGCTGGAGGAAGAACCAACATAATGAAAACATAAGCATGATAATGGGCTTCCCTCCCTTCATCGCAGCGTTGACACTGCTAAACCCTCAGAGCTGGAAAGACCTTAAAAAGCAGCATTCAGTCATGACCTCTCCACGGTAGTCCCCCCTTTCGTGTGGGGGACACGTTCCAAGACCCCCACTGGATGCCTGAAACCACAGATAATACCAAACGGCATATACACCTGTTTCTTCTTATATATCCATACCTGTTAGAAAGTTTAACTTATAAATTAGGCACAAATAAGGGATTAAGAGCAACACCAATCAAATAGAACAATTAGAACAATATTTTGTAGTAAAAGTTATATGAATAGGATCTCTCTCACGCTCTCAAAATATCTTACTGTACTTTAGTCACCCTTCTTGTGATGATGTAAGATGATAAAATGCCTACGTGATGAGATGAAGTGTGGTGAATGACGTAGGCATAGTGTCCTACCACTAGGCTGCTGTTGACCTTTTGAAGATAGGTCAGAAGGAGGTTCATCTACTTCCAGGCCTCGGTTGACCAAACGTAACTGAATCCATGGAAAGCGAAATGCGGATAAGGGGATATTACTGTATTTGCAGGGACTGACATGGCTTGTACCTGGTCACTTCATCTTCTTGAACTAAGTTAAGAAACCTGGAGTTTATCAGGGGTCGGCGGACTACTTTTTTTGTAAATCAAGTTTAACTGGAACACAGCCACACTCACTTGGGTATTATCAAGGCTGCTTTCCTGCTACAACAGCAGAGTTGTATACTTGCAACAGAGTGCATATGGCCCATAAAGCCTAAACTATTTACTACCTGGAAAAAGTTTGCTAACCCCTGGTTGGAGAGACTCAGGTCAGAATAGCGCACACCAGATCTCAGAATTTGACCCAATTTTGATTATTAGATGTCACCAGCCGTCCCAGTGAATGCCTTCTCCAGAATTCCTGAACTTTCCAGGGGAGAGAAGAATGCAACTGGCTGGGGTACTCTCCCCCAATCGGTTCAGGATCCCCAATGGTTAGCATCCCTTAGTGGTTGGTAACCTCAAGGGAAAAGTTTAGGTCCATATCCTTGTCAGCAGCCTGAAATAAGAGGTGCTTTGGTGGCCAACTACATCAAAACCTCAACGTCTAAAATAATGTTACACCATCCTTAAACTTGAACCCTTGTAAAAGAATGACTTCTCTGATTGGAAAATTAATGCATGGTTATTAAAACTTAGGAAATGCAAAAGAGCACCCCTCCCCCCCCAAAGAAAAGAAAAACCAATAGTTTTTCTATGATTCCGAGATTACTGTGGATAGCACTTCATGTTCATGGTGCAGATCACCATGAATTTATTTTTTAGCCAGTTCCCCCAAAACTGAATCACACAGTATGTTGGTTTTGTTTTTTTTTTTTAAGATTTTATTTGTTTGTTTGAGAGAGAGAATGAGAGAGAGAGAGAGCATGAGAGGGGGGCGGGTCAGAGGGAGAAGCCGACTCCCTGCCGAGCAGGAAGCCCGACGCAGGACTCGATGCTGGGATTTCAGGATCATGACCTGAGCCGAAGGCAGTCACTTAACCAACTGAGCCACCCAGGCGCCCCAGTATGCTGTTTTTAACATGTCATGAGGTATCCTTCCCTGTATGATTTTTAAATGGCTGCACTGTATTCCATACTTAAGTGTACTTCTTTAAACAGTCGCCGGACCCTTGATATTGAAAGGGGCTTGGCTGTTTTGACTTTTTGATGTAGCTGAGGACCATCAGGGAAAGGCTGATACAGAGCAGACGCACCTGAACTGTGTTAGCCAGCCCAATCTGAAAACATGGTATGGGGAATGTTTTCGAATGTCTTTTAGTCTTTATAAACACATTCCCGTGCTTTCTCTTTTTCCCTGTGGTTCTGTCATGAGTAGGTAAAACCTGCCCCATTTGTAGAGGTGTGAAGAAGGGATGTGCAGGGTCACCATGATCACATGGTTGTCATTTTATTATCCCATATCCCTTTGTGGTGGGTGCTAAGTTCTTTTTTGCTACTCTGGTAGGACCTTAAAATCCCAGGTTAGCCACCTGAAAGTCAGGATCCATGGTTGGCGTCAGCATCCTCCATCTACACCCTCTGTCCGTGCTCCCTGAGATTTAGTCTGGCCCATAAGAGAAGCACTGAGCACTTGGGTGCTTGTAGGTGGTCCTTGTCAACACAGTTTGCTTCCTCTGGGAGAAATGTCAGCCTCCTTCTCCCCAGCTTGCTGACCTTGAGACCACCCCTGGGGCCCGCACCACATCTCTCTGTCATGGCACCCAGTTTGTCCAGGTTCCCATCCCAGCCTCTGCCTGGCTCTACTCCATAGATCCCCAGGTCTTGCTTCGGAGGCCACAGGACCAGACAGACCAGCCCTGGCCTGATCAAACTTCTTGGCCAATTCTCCTTCCTCCGATTTCCATATTCAACAGCAGCTGTTGGGTCACCAGGCTGCTTCGAGGTTGGTCCCAGGGAGGCAGAAAAGGAAGATTTTATTGGTTTTCGTTCACACTTGTTACTGCTTCAAAATCAGAACATGGCAAATATATATTTATGTAATAATACTTACTTTCATTATTAAAAGATAACTTTGTCCAGGGGTTCAAAACTAGAGCCTCAAGCAGATGTCATGTGCCGGCATGCTCTTTTTCTGTCTAGGGAGGAGTACGGAGTTGTTGGTGGGAGGCAGAGTTGCTAGAAAATGTAGTGCAGTAATGGGTATTTCTCCGGTCTCGTTGCTTTGCCAAATTATTTAATAAACTCAGTTTATTTCTTTGCATTTTCTGGGTATATAGCCTTATCATTCAGCAAGCATCCTTCATACCATTATCTGCATCCTGTTTCCTCCTCTACCTGCCAAAAAGGTAATGAAATTGATGTCGGACGATAAGAAGCAATAATTAAATGGAAAGACACTAGTGATAATCATATTGATTAGTGATTGAATAGAGAACATTTTGTTACCCCCTTATCAATCACCATACAAGTAATTTTTTTACGTGACCCCATATTTAGTAAAAAAAAAAAAAAAGGCAGTGGGATGACTGGCTATAAATATCTTCTCCTTGTTAAAATAAAACTCATATTTATGATTGTGAAAACCTGTAAGTTGTGATTACATTAACCAGGACACAGTGGGAAAGTTGTCTTAAATTGAAGCCCATTTATTTTATGCGCATAATAATGAGAATTATTTAGGTTTTAATTAGTGCTGGGGAGGACGGCACCATGCCAAGGTAGGGTTCTGTTGTTTGTCTGAGGCCATAAATCTAGATCTGGGAGAGAAGGTGCTTTGCACACATGTGGCAGCTACTGCCGGGTTACTGTGGCTCTGTGGGGTTAATGGGGAGCAGACTCGCCTTTATTTCATCTTCCAAACAAAGTCAGCACCATTTAATGCAGTGGCTCTCAACCTTGGCTGCACATTGGACTTACCTGAGAAATTTTAACAACAGCTCCTGGCTGAGTTCCATCCGTCTGGGATTCTGATTTAATTGGTCCTGGGTGCAGACTGGTCTCAACCAGCCAGCCCACAGGAAGGATAGAACACTGTGCCTCTAGGAATGCCGAATTCTCCAACTGGGAGTGTCTGCAGTTTTAGAAAGTCTATCCTCTAGTTAATGGAGGGGAGATGCAACCCCCCCCAATTTGGGGATCTAGACCAATGATTCTCAATGGAGGCCACATATTAAAGTCACCTGGGAAGCTTTAGCACTCCCTGATGCCACTGTCCCATCCCCTGGGGTTCTGATTTCATTGGTCGGGGGTGGGGTCCAAGCATTGGGATTTATAAAGCTCTCCCAGGTGAATCTTAGGGGGGGCTCAAGGCGGAGAAGTACAGGTTTAAAAGGAAATATTAAGTGCTATTTAAAACCAACTGTGGGGGCGCCTGGGTGGCTCAGTCGGTTAAGCATCTGCCTTCAGCTCAGGTCATGATCCCAGGGTCCTGGGATCAAGTCCCACCTCGGGCTACTTGCTAAGCAGGAAGCCTGCTTCTCCCTCCGCCTGCCACTTTCCCCTGCTTGTGCTCTCTCTTTCTCTCACAAATAAATAAATAAAACCTTTAAAAATAATAATAAAAATTATTTAAAAAATTAAAAAAATAAAATAAAACCAACTGTGGGGGCACCTTGGTGGCTCAGTCGTTAAGCATCTGCCTTCGGCTCAGGTCATGATCCCAGGGCCCTGGGATCGAGCCCCGCATCAGGCTCCCTGCTCCGCGGGAAGCCCGCTTCTCCCTCTCCCATTCCCCCTGCTTGTGTTCCCTCTCTCGCTGTGTCTCTCTCTGTCTCTCTCTGTCAAATAAATAAATAAAATCTTAAAAAAAATAAAAAAAATAAAATCAACTGTGAAGACTTAGGAAATCAGGTACTCCCAATTTCTTCACTTCTTCATATCCCTGGAAACAGAATAGCTTACAAAAAGCATGTTTATATAACCACCAGCACCGCCCACACACACAGACACACACACACACACACACACACACACACACACACACACAAGAAAAGGGCCTTAGGGCACCGTATTTATTCTTGTTTGGCCATTATTCCTCAGCAACAAAACTCCTCTGAGTAGATGGAAAGAATGTCCAGCTTAGTTCCTGGAAGCGTGAGTCTGGTCCTTCACAGAGCCTTCCTTGGAGGCTCCCTAAAAGTGGTATGTGAATCTATTTAGTTTCTAGTTGTAATCAAAGAACACAAAGTTCTTCTTTGTGAAACAGAAAGATCAGTATTGAGGTCTCAGCTGCGCCGTGACCTTAGGCAATGGTTTCTTTATCAAGAAAATAGAGTAAATAATGCATCACAGCGTGGAGGATTCAGACAGGTTCATTTACCTGGAAACACTTCATAAACTGTAAAGTGCCATGAGAATACTAGGTGCTCCTTCTGTTACGGTCATACCCGGGAATTAACTGTATTGATGATCTCCTAACGAGGCTCTGCTTTTGTCCGAATTGCCAATAAGCCATTTCTTGTTCAACAAATGTTGAGTGCTAATGGGCCAGGCATTTACAAGAAGCAGTGAGGATACAGCAATAAGGCAGACAAAGCCTCTACTACTCCTGGAGTGGGGAAAAGCGGATAATAAACAAGTAAACAATTCCAGCTGTAGTCAATGCAAAGCCGACAAGAAATAGGGTGGAGGGAGTACTCGGTTTGAAGCCAAGTGGTCAGGAAATGCCTCTCAGAAGAGGTGATAGGTCCAGGTGAGATGTGAGCATGGAAGAAGCCAACCATCTGCAGGGTTGTCCAGGACAGGAGATTGTTAGGGGCTGAGTTGTGTCCGCCCAGAATCCCTACGTTGAAGTACCTCAGAATATCACTGTGTTTGGAGATCAGGCTCTGAGGAGGTGATTAAGTTAAATGAGGCCATTGGGATGGGCCCTAATCCAACCTGTTGGCCTTAAAGAAGAGAAAACTTAAGACACACAAAACTCAGGGTGCATGAGCCCAGAGGAAAGACCCTATGAGAAGACCGCATGAGAAACACAGCAAAAAGATGGCCACCTGCCGTCCGAAGGGAGATGTCTCAAAGAAACTAAACCTGCCAACGCTTTGATTGTGGACTTTGAGCCTCCACAACTCTGAGAAAATAGGATTAGGTTGTTTAAACCACTCAGTCTCTGGTATTTTGTTACGGCCTCCCTAGCAAGCTAATAAAGGGACAATAAAGGCCAAGGCCTTAGCCTCTGACACGGCCGGGCACATTCCAGAAAACCAGTGGCCAGAGCATTAGCTGGTAGGAAATGAGTTTTGTGGGTTGTTGTGTTGTTTTTTTTTTTTCTTTTAAGTATCAGGGGCGCCTGGCTGGCTCAGTAGGAAGACCTTGTGACTCTTGGTCTCAGGGTCGTGAGTTCGAGCCCTACACTGGGATTACTTAAATAAACAAACGTTAAAAAAAAAAAGTATTGGAAGCCAGATGATGTAAGACCTATGAGCCCATGGCACAGAGTTTGGATTTTAGTACAGTGGGAAGTTATGCAAGGATTTTAAACAAAGGCAAAACATGGTATTTATGGGGTTTTGAAATAAACTTTTTGGTTTGGAATAATCTTAAATTTACACTAAATTTGCAAAGATAGTACAGAGAGTTCGCATGTACGTTTTACCCAGCTTCCCCTAGCGTTGACATTGTATATGACCCTGCTACATTTCTCAAAACTGCGGACCTGGTTCAGATTTCACCAGATTTTCCCACTAAAGTCCTTTTTCTGTTCTAGAATCCGGTTTAAGAGACCACGTTACTGGGGCACCTGGGTGGCTCAGTTGGTTGAGCGACTGCCTTCGGCTCAGGTCATGATCCTGGAGTCCTGGGATCGAGTCCCGCGTCGGGCTCCCTGCTCTGCGGGAAGCCTGCTTCTCCCTCGGCTTGTATTCCCTCTCTTGCTGTCTCTCTCTCTCTGTCAAATAAATAAATAAAATCTAAAAAAAAAAAAAAAGAGAGAGAGAGACCACGTTACTTTACATCATTTATGTTTTTAAATGTTTGCTCTAGCCATTCTGTGGAGAATGGGGGCGTAAGAAAGCAGGATGGGAAGCAGGGAGTCTAGTTGGCAAGTGATTGCAGTCATCCAGACCAAAGGTAATGGTGGCTTGGGCTAGAGAGAGACAGTGGGTAAAGGCAGCAAGGATAGATGTATTTTTGGAAACAGACTGATTTTCTGTCGGACTGCATGCGCTAAGAAGTCTGACCTCAGGATATCCAGCCTTGTCTACTGACCCTGATTGGCATGGTGGGGGAGCAGGGGAGAGAATCAAGAGTTGTACTTGAGACACAGTCGGTTTGAGGTGCCATTGAGACTTACAAGTGGAAACAGCAGCTAAGGAGTTGGATGTATGGATCTGGGGTTCAGAGAGAGGTGTAGGCCACGATGCAGGGCATGAAACGAGGCAGGTTATCTAGGGAGAGAAGTGATAGCAAAAAGAAAGCTCCGAAGCTCCAGGATGGAGAGAGCACCCTGGTCCTGAGAAGGACCTTCCCTTCCCATGGCTTTCAAGTCCAGCTTCTGACTGTTAATCTTTTCCAAGACTCATTTTCCAGGTAGTTGGGAGGCTTGGGCAGTGGAGCAAGCAGCTCTTGATCTCGGGGTTGTGAGTTCGGTCCCCACATTGGGTGCAGAGATTACTTTAAAAAATCTTAAAAAAACAACAACAACTCATTTTTAATCACAAAATTGGGTTTGGTTTTAGGGAATTAGATTATGTCATTAACTGAGAAATCTAGTTTCTTCTCTTGGGTGGGTGCCTTCTTTGGATGAATTGAGTAAACATTTCAATTCTTTGACTTTGCCTAATTTGCATTGCCTTGGGGGAATTGGCCAGAAATGTTATCCTCGTGACCACAAATAGCTTCCACTGGTAGACTGACAAAAAGGGAATTTTATCATAAGAACTCTGCTTATTGAGGATTTATTATTGCAAGAGTCATCATGAAGTTTGCTTCATTATTAGTACTACTTTTGTATTTTTAACATCAAGAGGGCAACATGGATGGATGTAAGGTAAAATAATTTATTTACAGATTTCAAAGTTTGCTAAAATTAATTTGTACAGTAAGGTGGCGGTGAGAACTCTAGAATCCGTATTTACAGGTCTCTGAAGCTGATTATCTTTTCCTCAAATGGCTTCTCATTGAGGCTTACAGAAAGAAAAAAAAAACATTTGCTTTGTTTTTAGATGTGATCTCTGGTGTCTTCAACTTTTATGGTTCTGTTTTTAACCTTATATTATAACCATCCACCTACAAAATCTGCAATTTTCTCTGATAAATCAGTACGTGCTAAAAAGGTTGTACAAAACACCCCCATTTGCAGTTTTGAAGGATTATTATCCACTTTGGTTCATGAAGTGGAAAGTCAATGTCCTTGCTCACTCGGTGTCTAATAGTATCATTTTGAGGACAATGGGAAACAGATCATGTTTGATTCCCTAAGACGGTGCCTTTGCTATTTGTGGTACAATTTGTGATCTGAGAGGCTGGATGTAAAAGACATGTGAGCAAAACCAGCATCTATCCAGCTAGCTTTGTAATTCTCAAAGTTATAGTCAGAATAGTCAGGCTATATTAATAGATATAGCTTAAAGTCGTATTTGCTTTCTGTGGAGGCTTGGTTCACTGACGCTGTGGTAAATCCAGAAAGGCTTGACTCTTAGTACTAAGGGTTGGGAAGACAGTTTACCAAACTGGTCAGAAGCAGCATAATCAAAGGGACAAGGCTGAATCATGGTTGGGAAACCAGAAATCAGGGCTAGGAAAGGAAGACCAACTATCAAGGTCTGGGTGACCGTTTTACAGCTATTACAGTAATAATTGGCTCAAACAAGAGTCATCAATAGATGCTAAAACCATTGAATGAAACGGTATTGGGCAACAGGAATTCACCCTGTCTCAAAGTATCACCCCAGAGATTATGTATTAATTACAAACAGTGGAGGAGTCCAGTGGATACCATCAAGTAAGCAAATTTTGCATCACCAGTGATAGGACACACTGACAGTGTACCTCCCATTATGACACACTGGAGAACACAGCATCCCGGTGGATTATCCTTACCAAAAATGTTTAACCTGAATCAATCAGGAGGAAACGATCAGACAAACAAATATTGAAAGACATTCTACAAAACAGCTAGCCACAACTTTTTAAAAGAACATGCCATGAACCTAGGAAACTGCCCCAGATTAAAGACTAAAGTAATTTCAGCTACTGAATTTGAGGCCCAAAGCCATGGTTAGATTCTGAATTAAGGGGGGATGGGCCAGTGCAGAGGACAAGAAGAGATATTCTTGGGACATTTGGGGAAACCTAAGGCTGGACCTATATATTAGGTAATAAGGTACAGTATTGAGGCAATATTAAATTGCTTGCCTGTGATCTTTACCCCCACGTGTATACATGTGTGTATATGGAATGTTTTTGTTCCTGGGAGATACGTGCTGACATATTCAAGAATGAAGAATCAGCCAATGTGTCTTACTCTCACATGGCATAACCAGAAACAAATTTTTATTTATATATGCGGGTTTTTTTCTTTAAAAAAGTCATATAAAAATTGAACTACGCACAATGTTGCAATGAGATGTCAGATAGCTTACTAAAGGTTACACGATGAGTCTTGCGTTTTTCTTTTTTTGTAGCCATGAAGCAGAAGTTTTTAGTCCTCTTTCTTTTCAGTGATACCCATTTTTCTAAGATTTTTAAAGTTTTTATCTTATTATATGAGAGCGCGAGAGTGCGAGCATGAGCAGGGGGAGGGGCAGGGGGACAAGCAGACTCCCTGCTGAGCACTCCATCCCGGGATCCTGGGATCATGACCTGAGCCAAAGGCAGATGCTTAATCGACTGAGCCACCCAGGCGCCCCATTTTCCAGTGATATCCTGATTTCGTTAATGACACAGGAAAAAAATTAGCCTACTCATAACTATTATAAGCATCAACATTGATTCTCTTCACCCAAAAGATGTTTATGAATTGGAAATCTTTTTGAATTGTAGAAACCCTAGGTTCTTTCTGAGTAATTTCACATAATAGGCTGTCTCCTGAGGTTTTGAAGAGGCAGATGGAGATGGTTGAGACTAGCCTTCTAAGGGTGCCCTTCTGCCAAGGGTTGGAGCCCAGGCTACTGCCTCTCTAGATGTTTGTATACTACCATATTTGTGCCTCCCTCCCTACAGCACCTGTCAGGCTGGCTAATAATTGCTCATTTAATCATCTGTCTCGCCAAATGCATTTAAAGCTCATACAAGGTCAGATAGCATGATTAATACCAAGACACCTTTAAGGTACCTAGGAACAATTTAACTTTTATAAACTAAAGGGGCATAACAAAGACCTGATTAAATGATCAATACTCCATATTCCTGGATGGGAAAACTAAATACAATGAAGAATTAGCCGTTTTCTAAATTAATTTCCAAATTAAATGTAATCCCATTCAAAACCCCAACAGGATTGTCATAAATTGATTGTAAAATTAAAATGAAGGAAAAAAAAGTCTAAAAATAGCAAGAACAAATTTCGGACAAAGAACAAAAAGAGGAGCAGCACCTGGGTGTCTCCGTCAGTTAAGCATCTGACTCTTAATTTTGGCTCAGGTTGTGATCTCAGCGTCATGAGATCGAGCCCCATGTCCAGCTCCACACTGGGCATGGAGCCTGATTAAGATTCCCTCTCTCCCTCTCTCTCTGCCCCCTGCCCCCTGCTGCACTAGCACTCTCTTTCTCTCTCTCATAAAAAAAAAAAAAAAAAAAAAAACGAGGAGAGGAGATTCATCCCACCAGATAACAAAACCATATTAAAAGAGTGTGGTATTGACATAAAGACAGAAGTAGATCTAAGCTGATAATGGGAGTTTGATACATAGTAGATAAAGCATCTCAAATTAATAGGGAGAAAGGACACTGGGTGATTTACTCAGAAAATAATGTTTGAGTCAATTGACATTTCAAATGGAAAAATGAAATGTTTGATCCCTACCTCACTCCATATTAAAAAAGAAGCTCCAGAAGGAGTTTAGAAACCTCAGTGTGGGTCACCATTAAAATCATTTAAGTGTATTTTGTTTATGGATACCTTTACATATTGTATGAAATACAAAGTTTATCAAAATATGGACCAGGTTCACAACAAATTTGCAATAGCTGCCAACTTGGAGTAGGAGCGGAAGGGATTTCAACTTTAAATGTGAAAATTTCGGGGCGCCTGGGTGGCTCAGTCAGTTAAGCATCTGCCTTCAGCTCAGGGCATGATCCCAGGGTTCTGGAATCGAGTCCCGCATCAGGCTCTCTGCTCAGCCGGGAGTCTGCTTCTCCCTCTCCCTCTGCTGCCGCTCTGCCTACTTCTGTTCTCTATCTCTCTGTCAAATAAATAAATAAAATCTTAAAAAAAATAAGGCAGTTTTCCTATTTATTTACCTAGAGCTTTGTGTTTGTTTGTTGAGCCCAGTTGTTGGTACCTCAGTGAATGTGTTGCTTACACCTGATGGTGACCAGCAACCTTTGGGTCTGGGAGCATCCTGGATGAGGACACTTTAGCAATCTGCCCAAAGCTAGCAGCTGGCCAGGCCCATTTAGCAGGATATTGTACTAGATTCAGAGAACTCACCAACCTTGAACCAGGCAGGGTCCAAAGCAGGGCTCAGGCAGTCAACGGTAAGTCTTCCCCAGCTGTGAAAAGGGGAACACAACACCCACTTCAGGAGGTTATTGGGAGGATTTGGTGAGAGGATGCATGTCAGATACTCCATAAACAGTGGTTCTTTTCTCCTCTTTCACTTCAGCTATGCTTCATGAAAACCACTTCAGAATTAGACTCTCAGGGATCTACAGGCAGAGAAGTTAGTTGAGTTCTTTCGGAGGAAAGGTGCTTGTTCTCACATTTTCAGTGTCTGCAGTCTCTTCTCTTTTTCAACCATCCAGAATGGGGCATCCTTGGACATAAGCTGAAAGGACACATGTCCCTGGGAGATTGTAAGTTCCCTTTTCCAAGGTGGAGGAGGGAGTGATCACAGGCTGGAGCCCTGAACCCTCTGTCTGGTGGTCTGTTGGCTGGAGGTTGGGAATTCTGGTTTAAGAACCAGTCCTAACCTTGGCTCTCACTCACCTGTATGGGATCTTCATTGGCACATCTTGGCAGCTCCAAGAGGTGACAGACACCTGTCTTGTTGTTCCAAAATAGTCATCAGCAGGATGGCGGCAGAATGGTGGAGGGAGGCAGGCTGCAGTTGGGTTTGATTCCTGGGTCAGCTGCTTTGCTGGTTAAGGCATGTTACTTCACCTCTTTGTGACCCATAAATGGGTTTAACCATAGTTCCTCCTCATTGGGTACTTGGGAAGATTCAATGTGTTAATAATGAAAAGGGCTAAGAGTGGTGCTTGGTCCGCATAGTAGGTTCTCAACATGGTAGCTGTAACTGGCATTTCTGTGTCTCATCAAGTCTAAGGTGACCATTGATTTTTACTTTTTAACCACCCTAAAAATAAAATGTGTGTTGGAGTTGATGGCATTGTGCAATTATAACTGGTAGCCTTTTGGGGGGGGGCAGGGGGTGCTGTGACTGGTAATGTCTTAGATTCAGTGTGACTTGAGCATGAGTCCTCCTGTACAGGATATCGAGATGTCTGAATAGTGAATTTAAGCACCGAATAATGTTTGCATGTCAAGTGTGAACATTGAACTGGCTTCTGCCAAAGAGCAGTCATTGATTAATAAGCTGTTCAGTTGTTCAGGCCTGGAAGGTGGTGTGTTAACTTCTCCCCCGGCACTGACTGTCTTCCTTGTGCAGTGAATGACTTGATAGAGCTCTAGAAAAGGAACAGGTGACTCTTCTCCACTAACGGGTTCAGAGCCATCATCTTGGTAAAACGGATTTCTCTCTAAAGTCCCTGGATGTCATCTCGCTGATAAATACCTCCAAGGACAAAGTCTCTGCTAGTATTTTAGTCTTTAAAAAAACGGGGGCGGGGGGCGGCGGCAAGGGGGTGACAGGGGCTGACCTTATGGAAAAGAAGTTAATGATTTCCAGTGGACGTGGTTTAAAAGCCGTTTTTTTCCCTTTGCAGTGAGTGCACCATTTCCACATGTTCTCTCCTTGTACACAGACTGTGTTTTAACCAAGCAGCAGGTCAGCTCTTGCACACCAAATTCTGTACTTGATCTTCTAAGACTAATAGCAATTCTGTCTGACTAATACTAAGCTGCTAAATCATAATTCAATCATATTTCCGCACTAATACTTACTGAAGGCCTGTTTATAGCCCATCAGACTTTACAGCTATTTGGCACATAAACTTATTAAATATAAACTTCATAGAGCTGCATCTGAAAATCTTCCATCTTGTTTCCAGCCCTTTAAAGAGACAGTCATAAATACTTGTGGAATATGCAGACCATGATGAAGGGTAATTTCAATTTTCTTTAGCTCTGCCAATTAGATGATTAATAAATAGATGTTGAAAAGCATGAACGAAATGCCGTCACGGAGTAGAGACTCAGGGGTGAAACCAGATAATTGACCATTTGGTGCTGAAATGTTTTATTATCACTCATACCTAGGTTCAGAGGAAATCAGAAATCTGTCATGAGTTTGAGTTTGTTATTAAACTCAAACTCACCTTGGTTGGCACGTCAAAACTACGGTGAAATATTGAAATGAAATATGAAACATACTAAGGAAGGTCCTTAGGAATGAAGGACACTGGAAAGATTGATTTTTCTCGTAACTTAATTTTGATTTATGTATGAAGCCTTGTTTTCAACACCCGGCTAAATTTGCTTAGAACCATCTGGGTCTCTTGAAATAGATGATGTTATACCAGATCCACCAGTTGCACACATGATACGCCTTTGTTGAGGGCTTTTGTAGCTGTTTCAAATAGAAAACAATTTTGCTTTTAAAAAAAAAAAAAAGGTAGTCATGGGATCCCTGGGGGTGGCCTAATATCCTGCTTCGGTTAAGAGTTCATGTAGCTGCATATTGCTTCCTCTTCCTAAGATTTGCTCTTACTATTTGAAAAATCTTACTATTGTAGAAAAATATCCTCTCATGCAGCTCAGGATAAAAATTAATTAGTGACTTCCTCTGGGTACAGATTTTTGGAAGCTTTGTGTTTTTGTGAGGTCGGTTCTCCAGCTGCCCTGATGCCCACTTTGTAAGTCTGCACCTTGGGGTGTTGAGGAACAGAATGTACAGTGGGTCAACATTATCGTTACGTCCTTGTACAAATAGGGACATCCAACGTAGAGGACTTTTTAAACTCTATATGTTTTATCTTGTACCAAGTCAGTGCCCTGCAGATAAGAGGTGTTTGGTTACATTGGACAAAGTCAAGAAGTGGTTCTGTTGGGCAAAACCTTCAGGAACCTGAACAGGTTTCTCCTGCTGCAAAGTTGGGGTCATGTACTTGAAGAGTCCCACTTTGTCTCAAGGGCAGTCAGCACCAGCCTCGAAAGCTGGAGGAGCTAGAGCTGTTTTCAACAGACCTTGATTTACTTTAAATAAGTAAAGCTGGGTTGTCCCCAACCATATTATTCTAAACTGACAAGAATGTAAAGTCTTCTGGTTGAAAGACTGTTTGTTCCTTCTTCCCTAGAGGTGTAGTAAAGTCACATGTTATGAAGATTCTTCCCCCTGGATTTTCCTTACCCTCTTGGATCGGTTTTTTAAATGATAATGAACGTTCTGAACCAAATAATTGATAAAGCCACCTGTATCACATTTCCTACAGTTGATAGATGTTTAGTGAATACCAGTTGTCTTCCTCGATCCCTTTGTCTTAACTTCCCAGTGGGGATCTGGGGAGTTTTTTATTTTGCACTGAAAGAAGATCAATTCATTGCATGAGAAATGTGTGTTGAGCATCTATTTGGTACCAGGAATTGTCTGTCAGTTTGGCGGGGCGGGGCAAGAGTCCTGTCATTGCAGCATCACGTGGAAGGTGCTGTAAAGCATACAGGAGGGAGGATGGGACCAGAAGGAAAGGCAGGATTGTAATGCAGGGAGAGGCTAGTTTGAGAAAACAGGAGATTTGCAGTAGATCAGTTGGGAAAGAACACAAGCCAGATCTTAAGGAAAGCAGTGGCAGCAGAAATAGGAAAAGGGGGAATTCGGAAGAGGGAGAGGCATGGGTGCCAAATTCAATTTGAGAATGGGATGGGAAGACTGGTTCAGGGGTCTGAGATAATTCAGGTTTTTGCCTTGGATAGGTCACATTGTAATGAAACTCCAGAGTATCGACGATTTTTTAAAAGCCATTACAAGCTACCTCAGAGGGAAGACCGATCAGCACACAAAGGGATAACAGTAACCCTGACCGTGGACTTCTGATTAGCAGCTGCAGATGAAGAAGTTAACGAAGGGATATATTTAATAAGTGGGCCCAGGGAAAGGCATGGAATACAAAACACAAATGTGGGCTCATCAACTGATAAAATGTCAATTCACCCTGGCCTGCGAAACACTGTGTGGAAGGAGCCAGCAGGTGAGTGAGATTTTGGAAGTCGAAGAGAAAGCGTGCTCCCAGAAGCCAGAGGAAACGGTCTTCCTGAACTTCCGAGAGAGGGGGAAAGGCCAGAGGGCAGGGTTACCTCTACAGAGAGAGGAGAGAGGGGCAGAGAGTCGGTGGCCTCATACCTGCTGGCCTCTTTCCAGGAATGTGAGAAGAACGGTTGTCTACTGAAAAGGAAGGGCAGAGAAAAAATGGCTTAAGGAGGTTGATGAAAGTTCAAGACAACCTATATGGGAAATGATGAGGGAGCCAACTCCAGAAGAGTAAGAGGATGTCTTGAAAGATTTGGCAGTCTGGTGATTTGAGAAATTTTGAATGACTTAGCGCCACCAGCCTTAAGTAATTGTGTCATTTTCCCAGCTGTGCTTTGCAGCCTGCATGGAGGAACAGAGGAAATGGTTGAATTGATTCAGGATTTGCTTTCAGGGTGGGTTTAGCAGGGTATGGAAAAATGGAGGGAGCAAGTGAAGGTCCTAATGAACCTGGAGTCCATTGGAAGCTCTTGGGGATTGGAGAGCTCGGGCAAGGTCAAAGTGAAGGTGTCTGGGAGTGAGAGTGGGGGAATGGAGGTTGAGGCTGAAGAAAAAGCAACTAGATTCTCAGATTTCATAAGTGGAATAATTTCCAGGAGATGCAAGACCAGGGTCGGGGCTTGGAAGAAAGTGGGCAAGGAAGGAGACTAGAAGGGAAGGTCTTTAGAGGAGGAGCAGAAAGGGAATTAGGCTCTGGAATTGGATGGATTGCCAACCTAGACACTGAAATCCCAAGTTGTGGGCATGAGTCGGAGTAAAAACAGAACCTTGAGCATGGTTCCTTGGACCTTGTTCAGTGAATTGAGGGGCCAAGGTTTTCCAGATCGGTGGTGTGTAAGTAACACCCTTTGGCAGTGAGGCGTTGTGGCTAGACAGCATGAGTCTGGCAAGAGGAGTGCCAGTCACTCTATCAATGACCACTAACCTCTAGGAATTGACTCCCAAGGAGTCTTTATAATCCTTTTCTAGAAATGAATTGATTAATGATTCCACACATGCGGTCTCTTCACTGCTGAGCTCTATGTTCCAAGGGAGCCCACCTCCGCTCCTTCATGCCGGCGATCCAGCTTCTCCCATTCGGTGCCAAACCACGGGGGCTGCGGGCTTTGCTGCATTGCAGGCCTTGAGCCACCTCTTAACCGGAGCCCGTGGGTTCATTTGTTCAATCTGAGCAGTAATCACAGAATTCAATAGTTCTCTCACACCTTTTCCCCAGGTTCCAAAGTCCAGAATCTGAGCTACTTGCTGACTTGGGTGATGAAGGTAGGGCCCCATCTAATGGCCCTTTTGCAAAGTGCAGGAGGAGCAAGCCGGCTCTCCTGTGCCCCGCTTGTCAGGGAAAGAGAGGCACAAGGGTAGAGGGTAAACCAGCTGGCCCCCGCTAGGGAGTAGCTTCTTCAAGAGTAGAGAAGTAATAGTGGTGCCAGTCATACGGATATTGGATA